GGGGGGGGGAGGAATGGCGACATTTACGGTAGACACACGTCTTTCAAGGTAATTTTTTATGATTCCACCGGATCCAGATATCAGAGTAGTAGCTTTGTTCCAGGTTTCAATCAAGGTCTCGCTGTCCCAATAATTAACCAATAATTAACCAAATGATATCATTAAGCACATATCTTCCCAAGGTGCACCCCCCAAGGTAAATGTCACAATTTTGCAACACATGCTGTTGCAATATTACAGTAACATTCTACTCTAACATCACTTGTCACTAGAATACACGAGGAGAAATCCAGAAATTATCCACCATCTGGAAAGGAAAGAAAATGACCCCCCCCCAAACTTTGACTTACACCCTTGGGCAAAGTTACCATTATCTTGTCCTCATATTCACATCTGTTTACTGTTGCACCAACTGGCCCTATTAGCTACTGTGAAGTCATGGCACTCTTAGGGATATCTTATCTGGCATTCTAAACTAAACGTTTAGTGTATTACAACATAGGCAAAGAGCTGAAAGTGCATGACTCATCTCAAAATGACAGAATTCAAATAGGAACAAGCTGTTTAACAGGAAAGATCAACGAAACTACAGGTATCTGATCATAGACCATGTCACCTGACCCGTGACCAAAGTATGACAACCATGATCTCCATCGGTTGGCTGCAGATATCATGATGTCACCTGTTAAAAATGTCAAATAATAACACTTATAAATAATAATAATTGAGTAGAAATATTTCAGTATTTCCACTGAAAGAAATATCTTTAATCTGTTAACAGACTGTCAGAGCTGCTGGGGTTTAACACCTTATGGTTTTCAGAAATAAGTTAGATAAATTAGATAAACTTTTTAAAAAACTTTGAAATAAAGAACTTTTGCAGTGCTTATTCTTGGACATTCTAGAGAAAGTAAAGCCATTTACTTCTGTGATTAGATTGTTCATTCAAATCATTCCAAAGAAGATCTCTCTTCACCTTTTTCAGATGTTCTGAGAAATGACTGTTATTATATGTGAGTTTTAGTCACTTCAGTAATAAATGCCAGATAGTGATATATACTTAATCATTCCTCTTTGTGCTCATTACGCATTGGTTATTTGCTAAGCATGCCGTTATTCTGATTCAGTGTGGTCGCAAAGGTTTGTATAATGGTTTGTATGTCACAGGTTTCGGAAACACCTCTTTCCAGTATTAAATTGCATAACATTACATTTTAAGCATTAACAAAGTATACAACGTAGAATCCGGATTTCCCGGCGTAAGGATAAATACGGAAATTATCATATTTATCATTTTAATATAATAAATTATAGATTATAAGTTAGTTATGCTTGTGCTATTGTTTATGTACTGGCTTACTCAGGTGTTGTAGTGGCTCCAAGTAATAGACATAAGAACAGGACATGACATTTCACATTCTAGCAGTGAGCCAAAAATCAGATACAGAGGGGATTTCCACATACGATACTCGTTACACACAGACAGATAAAGCTGAAACTTACCGGGAAAACAACTAGGTGGGCTCTTTATACAGTGGGAGGAGCATTCTTTTGTTACATAGCAAAACATCTTGAGCACAGGCAGAGCAGAGCTCTGAGAGGCGTGAGCACTGCAAGATGGGACTGCTGTTGCCGATTCTCCTGGCACTGCTGGCCTGTCTGATAGGAGGGCTGTACCTCCTGGGAGCCTTGCGCAGACGACGCCCCGGAGAGCCTCCACTGGACATGGGACCGATTCCTTGGTTGGGCCACGTGTTGGAGTTCCGTAGGAGCACTGCCGCATTTCTCCAGAGGATGAAGGAAAAACATGGGGATATTTTTACAGCACAGATGGGTGGGATGTGCTTTACATTTGTCGTGGACCCGCTCTCTTTTGGGATGATAGTGAAAGAGGGCAGGACAAATTTGGACTTCTCTGAGTTTGCAAAGAAGCTGGTGGAGATTGTTTTCAGCTACAAATCCTTCGAGGATGAATAGAAGATAAATCATGCAATCTTCACCAAGCACTTGATGGGTGACGGCCTGGTGGTCATGACTCAAGCCATGATGAGCAACCTGCAGAATCTGCTGCTACACAAAGTGGGACAAGGGGCTGCTCCGAGCCCCTGGCAGGAGGACGGTCTGTTTCATTACTGCTACAACATTGTCTTCCGGGCTGGCTACCTATCCCTGTTTGGTAACGAGGCAGCTAACTCCTCAGAGATGATGGAGAAAGCCAGAGAGCTTGACCGAGTCCAGTCCAATGACCTGTTTCACGAGTTCCTTAAATTTGACAAGCTGTTTCCTAACTTGGCCTACAGGACCCTAGCTCCCTGGGACAAAAGAGAGGCTGAGAGGTTGAAGAGGCTATTCTGGAGCAGATTGTCAACCAAGAACATAAATACGAAGCAGAATGTCAGTGGCTGGGTGATGGAGAGTAAGCAGGTGAGGGAAGAACTTGGGATGGATCCATCAATGGTGGACCGACACATATTCTTACTACTTTGGGCTTCCCAGGGAAACACGGGACCATCATCTTTCTGGTTACTCCTGTTCCTCATGAAGCATCCAGAGGCAATGACAGCTGTGCGCAAGGAAGTGGAGGAGGTTCTGAGAGTGACCGGGCAGGCAGTGAAGTCCGGAGGCCCACTCATCAACCTGACACGAGATATGCTGCTCCAGACACCCGTCCTTGATAGCGCAGTGGAAGAGACCTTGCGGCTTACGGCTGCCCCAGTGCTCACCCGATTCGTGAAGAAGGACATGTCCCTCAAGATGGCCAACGGTCGTGAGTACAATATCCGCCAGGGCGACCTTGTGGCCCTCTTCCCCTACACGGCCGTGCAAATTGACCCAGAGGTCCACCCTCACCCAATGACCTTCAAGTACGATCGCTTCCTGACACCTGAAGGGACGAAAAAAACTGACTTTTACAAGAATGGGAAGAAGGTCAAATACTACAGCATGCCCTGGGGGGCTGGGGTCAGTATGTGCCCAGGCCGTTTCTTCGCCACCAATGAGCTGAAGCAGTTTGTCTTCCTTATGCTCACATACTTTGATTTTGAGCTAAAATACCCCGAGGAGGAGATTCCCGCATTTGATGTCAGCCGTTGGGGTTTCGGATCAATGCATCCAAGCCGAGACATCCAGTTCAGATACAGGTTACGCTTTTAACTCCAAAGGGTGCTAGATTTCAAAGCACTTAGTAGTGTGCCTAGTGTTGTTTCTGACTGGCATGACAGCTACGCAGTCCACCAGGAATTCTCCCGAGTTTCCCCATTGGCCGCTCCGGGCCTCATTGCGTGGCTTCAGTGGTCCATCAGCTCAATGTACAGTACAGTACGGTATGCACTTACTAGTATTATTATCGCATAATAATTATTGTTATGTACTGTATTATTATTTTTCAAGCTTACCTACAAATTTGACTTACTTAGGCAATGGACTGCCTGTACATTATATACTGTAGCTGTTCCTGGTTCATTTCTTTTATTTTGCACTTCAATACTGAATTTCATTTTTTCATTTTTCAAATCATTGCTTGTTGTCACATCAGGCGGGAGAAATGTACTACGGCCATCAATTAACAAACTGTAGTCTAGCGCCGTATTTGGATAGTCCACCCACAGAGGATTTGTAATTAGCTGAGATCCAACAATTCAGCTGTTTCGTTGATTACCAAAATACACAGTTTTCGTATGATTACCAAAATACACAGTATATAGAGTATAAGTAACATTCATAAACATACCTACGTAATCTTATAATTTAATTGAATTTGACTACTAACTCAACCAATGTTATATTAATTGTTCAATCTCACCTAATAAGTTGTTGAAAAGTTATAAATACTCTGTATACCAAATAAAGTGTTACCAAATGCAGATAGGACTTTCCAATTGGTATTTCATAAGGGACAGACCCCTTGATGTCTATAATATTATTCTGCCGGGTTCCTGTCGGCCGTATAGTGTTGGAAACGGTCTCTAGTTCCCTTCCTTTCACAGTTGTTATCGATGTCGGACAGGATGTTACCATTCCTGTGTTTCAGTGCACCGAGTCAAAGATCCTGGTTTAAGATTAACCAGCCTGGAATGTGGGATTTATGTAAAGTTTAAGACAAAATGAAACATTCAACTCTCACTACAGTACATGTACATAAAAGCAGCCGGGGTGAATGAAATTATGCACTCTCACTCTCTCACCACTAGGAGGTGGTCTTGTTATGTGTGTTTTGTATGGAAATGGATGCTTTCAATGCCAGTCCATCCATATTCTAAATCATTGCTAAGGCTATGTATTACAGGATATAGTGTGAAAGTGATAAAAAGTCTGATTTTCTCACACATTATTGAGCTGTAGATGAGGCTCTACAGTTGAGTATTTCCACTGAAGCAGGTGAAGGTATATACTCAGTGTGATGAAGTAATTTAGGATTGCGCAGTTTCTCAGTTTATCTCAATATTCCACAATCACTTGCAAACAAACGCCAAGGTTCAACATCAGATTGCAGCTGGACTCATCTTCAAGGATATCATCTGGGTATAGTCATATTGTGTGTTTCGAAGAGAAAATAAAACTCTGATTTTCGGTTTATTTCTCATGTCTCAGTTTTAGTCACTTCAGTAATAAATACCAGATAATCATATATACTTAATCATTCCTCTTTTTGGGTAAGAAATGGCGACATTTACGGTAGGCACACGTTTTTCAGGGTAATTTTTTATGATGCCACAGGATCCAGATACCAGAGTAGTAGCTTTGTTCCAGGTTTCAATCAAGGTCTCGCTGTCCCATTATCTGCTTCACAGCACCAACTGCAGTTCATAGTACCTTCCAAAAAACTCGATTTAAACCCTACAACCCTTAAAGGAGTAAATAATTAACCAAATATTACCATTAAGCACATATGAACTGTCTTCCCAAGGTGCACCCCCTGAGGCAAATGTCACACTTTTGCAACACATGCTGTTGCAATATTTCAGCAACACTCTAACATCACTTGTCACCAGAATACACGAGGAGAACTCATCTACCATCTGGAAAGGAAAAAAAATGACCCCCCAGCACCCACCAACCTTATTCTCACTTTCCGTCCAAGAGACTTACGGTCTTAGCCATAGCTACCATCATCCTGTCTTCATATTAACATCTCTTTACCGTTGCGGCAACTGGCCTTATTAGCTACCGTGAAATAAAATCATGATACGCTTAGAGTAAAAGATATTTTATCTGGCATTCAATTAAGCAGCAAGTGCAAATAACTGGAACAATTCTCTAATATCAGCATAACAATTAAAATTCATTACACATGAATTACACAAAACTAAAAATTTAATGTATTATTGTGTACACAAAAGGTGCATGACACATCCAACAATGACAGGTTTCAGGCAGGAATAAACTGTTTAATCTGACTAATGTAGCTACAGGGAGCTGATCAGAGACCACGTCACATAATCTGTGACCCATGTATGACAGTCATGCTCTCCAAACCACGTGACCATTGGCGTCGTTAGTTTCGATCACCTGGAGATACAGCACCGAGTATTTTCGCACTTAAACAGGGAGAAGGGCTCGTCCGCGGCTGGAAAAAATAGCTGAGCTGAACTTAACTTGCGACGGCCGAAGGACGGCGGAGAAACCAAGCACTACAGCATGCACAAAAAAGCTGGAATTCACGCGAACCCAGATGAAAACCTTCAGCTTTAAAAACCTATTTAGCCTTCTTGGCTTTTTCAAAAAGAAGACTCAAGGTAAATCATTGAACGTGGGAATTCAATTCAGATTAGATCGCATTGATGTATTTCACATCGAAGTTCCGGAACCTGGTCCCTGGTTACAAGTTCCTGGGCCGTCTGGACCTGGGACTTACACAGTTCCTGGTCACGTCACCTCACAACAGAACTGGGACCTTTTGTAAAGATATGCTGTTGTAACTGTCCTAAGCAGGAGCCACGGCCTGATGACGACAGGAGTGCGGGATTGGAAAAGTGAATGGATGATTATAAACGGTCTAAGAAAAGGTCATATCAATACATGGTACCAGGAGTAATATATGGTTGTATCAGTTATCTAGTCCCTGTGTTTTCATTTGTATTAGATTTTGTTTTTTTGCCCTTGATTGTATTTTACCGGTCTGTTATCCCCATTGTTAGATTCTGTTTCCTAGTTTGAGTTTCATGTTTTAGTTTCACCTGTTGCCTGTTTTACTAGTCCTTCTTAATTAGTCTCACCTGTCCTGTGTTACTCGTTACCCCTTAGTATTAGAGTCCCTGCCTCAGGTCAGTTCTCCAGTGGTTCATTGTGTGTTGGATATTGTTTACCTGCCTACCTGTTTACTTGCATACCTGCCTTCTAGCCCTGTTTTGTAATTAGTCTTGTGTTTTTTTTTTTTTTAGTTCAGTTAATAAACCCTGATTTGTCCTGTGAGCCACAAGTGGGTCGTCCACCTCCTTCTCAACCTGTATCATGCCTTGCCCACGCCCCAAATCTGCCTGGATCCATGACGGGTTACGGTTAGAAATCGCACACACACGCAAACTGGATTTTGTAATAGTGCCTGATGGGCATGAGTCAGGCCTTGTGAAACAAGTCTGTACTATCTATGAAACAAGCGGAGTGCAGACTTATGATCAGGGGTTAATCAGTCAATTTCATGACATACTAATGAAGAAGTACTCCAGTGTCGTTCAAGGGCTGGGAGTACTGCCATACACATATGCCATTAAATTAAGAGATGATGTCATACACGCCCCACAGAGAGTGCGGTGTCCATTGCTCTCCATGAAAGACTGAACGTGTGGGGAGTTAGGTGTGATTGTCACGGCTAGGTCACATATGTGACGATAATCCTTATCTGCCTCGACTACGCCACCTGATGTAAAAATAGAGCACCAGGACCCCCCAATTCGGTTCTGACCACCTCAACTAAGGGACCCTAAAAATTCAGTGGGTAGAACAAAAACATTGTATAAAAATGTGGGGAACTAAAGTAATTTTTCTACACGATCCCCTCCTTTCAGGGGCTCATAAGTAACTGGACAAATTAATATAACTGCAAATAAAATGCGGGGCGGCATGGTGGTGCAGTGTTTAGCACTGGTTTCCCCTCACAGTCCAAAGACATGCTGAGGCTAATTGGCGTTGCTGAATTGCCCTTAGGTGTGCATGTGTGAGTGAATGGTGTGTGAGTGTGCCCTGCGATGGGCTGGCCCCCCGTCCAGGGTTGTTCCCTGCCTCGTGCCCGTTGCTTCCGGGATAGGCTCCAGACCACCCACGACCCAGTAGGATAAGCGGGTTGGACAATGGATGGATGGATGATGTGAATAATCCCAAGACCAGTTTGAGATTTAAAATCTTCAGGTGTAAAACATTGTACTGGTGTACCAGGGCCTGGATTGGTCTCAACATTTCCCAGTATTGATAACAATAACAAAACTAGATATTTATACTTAATGTTACAGCCTTTTGAAGTAGTCACCACACTGGTAGAGATTATACTCATAGAGGGGGAAGTTTCAACAGTAGTAAAATGTTTTCTCAAAATCAGTAAACAGTAAAAATGAAGAGACTCCTCAGTCAAAAGCAACCACTTTGACATGTTCATAGACACTATAACTGTTAACTGAGATGGATATGATAAGGTCTGTCTACAGCAAACAGTGAAAAAAAGTTAAATTGGCAAAGCTATCATACCGTGTATCTTCAAACGGAGTAATTGGAAATGGAAAAGGAGTAATACTAGGCCCATGTGGGCTTGTAGCAAAGCCCCACAAAGATATAAAAACACAATACAACAATTAGTGACATAATAAATGAAGATAAACCACTTTACCACATGTAATGTAGCTAGGAATGCTCACATACTTTGATACTAGGAATAGCTGGAGGCTAGCAGGCAGGGCCGAATAGTTGGAGGCTAGCAGGCAGGGCCGATAGCTGGAGGCTAGCAGGCAGGGCCGAATAGCTGGAGGCTAGCAGGCAGGGCCGAAAGCTGGAGGCTAGCAGGCAGGGCCGAAAGCTGGAGGCTAGCAGGTAAGGATTATAGCTGGAGGCTAGCAGGCAGGGCCGAAAGCTGGTGGCTAGCAGGTAAGGATTATAGCTGGAGGCTAGCAGGCAGGGCCGATAGCTGGTGGCTAGCAGGTAAGGATTATAGCTGGAGGCTAGCAGACAGGGCTGATAGCTGGTGGCTAGCAGGTAAGGATTATAGCCGGTGCCTAGCAGGCAGGGCCGATATCTGACAGTTAGCGTCCATGCAGGGCCAGTCGCAACAAGTTAGCAGTCTGTAAATTCCAGGTGTCTGAGTGCTAAATCCAGACTTAAGGAGTTATGACTGGAACTGGGTAACGGGTCCGATTGAGAAAGCTTGTTGGCATCATCTCACCTGTTTAAAATGTTAACAGAAATGTTTCAGTAGAAAAATTTCAGTATATCCACTGAAACGAATATCTTTACTGTTTGCAGACTTGAGTTGGTGTTTAACACTTTATGATTTTCAATCATTTCAGTGTGTTTGTACATTAATTAATTAAACTTTTTAATATGTGACTTTTGCAGTGTTTTATTCTTGAATTTTCTACAGAAAGTAAAGCAATTACACATTATTTATTTGCTTAGCATGTTGTCATTCTGGTTCAGTGTCGTCATAAGTTTTTGCATGTCAGAGGTTTCAAAACACCTCTTTGGCCAGTCTCACCTGTTTGTTTGTTTTTACTGGTTTTTTGTCTTCCCAGTGTTTGTTATTATCTTTCCTTATTTTCCAGTGAAGGGTTTGACCTGCTTGTGTCCTGTTTGATTTTGGTTGTGTTTGTATTTGTATTTATTTGGTTGATTGGTTCATTTTTGTGATGGTGCACACTTGCCCTTTATTAAGTCATTGTTGTCTGTGCATTTAGGTGCCTGCTTTTGTTTTGTTCCTTGTTGGTTTGTTGGTTTTCCCTGTATGGTTGTTCCATCTGTTGCAGTGCAGTTTCTCAGTTGCGAATGCAAATTAATTTATAACTTATTTGACATGCATTTTTTTGATCTCTCACTGTTCAAATAAACCTACCATTGCAATTATAGACTGATCATTTCTTTGTTAATGGGCAAACTTACAAAATCAGCAGGAGTTCAAATGATTTTCTTCCCTGACTGTATTTACTAGTTTATTCCCTTTTCAGTTTCTATAGTTTCCTGAGTTCCTCGCCACCATCAATATTGTGTTCAAAGGGTTGGTCCCTACCTTAATTTCTGTTTATTTTAGTTTTGTTTTAACTCTGTGTAGTTCCTTTATTTTCTGGTTTTCCCTTGTGTTATTTTTGATTATATGTCCCTTTTCCTTATGAGCCACAGCGAGATTCGTACCTCATTCAACATGCCCACCTTAAGAGATACTGGGTACATTCAGTTACTTAAAATTGAAACTTACAGGGAAAGCAACTGGGCGGGCTCTTTATACACAGTGGGAGGAGCATTCTTTTGTTACATAGAAACAAATCTTGAGCACAGGCAGAGCAGAGCTCTGAGAGGCGTGAGCACTGCAAGATGGGACTGCTGTTGCCGATTCTCCTGGCACTGCTGGCCTGTCTGATAGGAGGGCTGTACCTCCTGGGAGCCTTGCGCAGACGACGCCCCGGAGAGCCTCCACTGGACATGGGACCGATTCCTTGGTTGGGCCACGTGTTGGAGTTCCGTAGGAGCACTGCCGCATTTCTCCAGAGGATGAAGGAAAAACATGGGGATATTTTTACAGCACAGATGGGTGGGATGTGCTTTACATTTGTCGTGGACCCGCTCTCTTTTGGGATGATAGTGAAAGAGGGCAGGACAAATTTGGACTTCTCTGAGTTTGCAAAGAAGCTGGTGGAGATCGTTTTCAGCTACAAATCCTTCGAGGATGAATAGAAGATAAATCATGCAATCTTCACCAAGCACTTGATGGGTGACGGCCTGGTGGTCATGACTCAAGCCATGATGAACAACCTGCAGAAACTGCTGCTACACAAAGTGGGACAAGGGGCTGCTCCGAGCCCCTGGCAGGAGGACGGTCTGTTTCACTACTGCTACAACATTGTCTTCCGGGCTGGCTACCTATCCCTGTTTGGTAACGAGGCAGCTAACTCCTCAGAGATGATGGAGAAAGCCAGAGAGCTTGACCGAGTCCAGTCCAATGACCTGTTTCACGAGTTCCTTAAATTTGACAAGCTGTTTCCTAACTTGGCCTACAGGACCCTAGCTCCCTGGGACAAAAGAGAGGCTGAGAGGTTGAAGAGGCTATTCTGGAGCAGAATGTCAACCAAGAACATAAATACGAAGCAGAATGTCAGTGGCTGGGTGATGGAGAGTAAGCAGGTGAGGGAAGAACTTGGGATGGATCCATCGATGGTGGACCGACACATGTTCTTACTACTTTGGGCTTCCCAGGGAAACACGGGACCATCATCTTTCTGGTTACTCCTGTTCCTCATGAAGCATCCAGAGGCAATGACAGCTGTGCGCAAGGAAGTGGAGGAGGTTCTGAGAGTGACCGGGCAGGCAGTGAAGCCCGGAGGCCCACTCATCAACCTGACACGAGAAATGCTGCTCCAGACACCTGTGCTTGATAGTGCAGTGGAAGAGACCTTGCGGCTTACGACTGCCCCAATGCTCACCCGATTCGTGAAGAAGGACATGTCCCTCAAGATGGCCAACGGTCGTGAGTACAATATCCGCCAGGGCGACCTTGTGGCCCTCTTCCCCTACACGGCCGTGCAAATTGACCCAGAGGTCCACCCTGACCCAATGACCTTCAAGTACGATCGCTTCCTGACACCTGAAGGGACGAAAAAAACTGACTTTTACAAGAATGGGAAGAAGGTCAAATACTACAGCATGCCCTGGGGGGCTGGGGTCAGTATGTGCCCAGGCCGTTTCTTCGCCACCAATGAGCTGAAGCAGTTTGTCTTCCTCATGCTCACATACTTTGATTTTGAGCTAAAAAACCCCGAGGAGGAGATTCCCGCATCTGACGCCGGCCGTTGGGGTTTTGGATCAATTCAACCAAGCCGAGACATCCAGTTCAGATACAGGTTACGCTTTTAACTCCAAAGACTGCGCTAGATTTCAAAGCACTTAGTAGTGTGCCGAGTATCAGCTTAATATAATCAAATAATATTCCAAATTGTTATTAACTTCGTCAGCAGTGCTTTAAAAACCTGATATGCATCCTGTCAAACCTACTCAGCCTCTGCTCCAGAGTTCAGGTAGTACATGGTTAGCTCCTCTGAGTACTCTGCAGGGTGGCATAAGAGCCAAGGAATATGAGGGAGTTTTACTGAACAGGTATATCCTATGGTGCAAACACAGGGCCTTCATGATTCTTCCATGATGATGATGCCGCCGTTGAAACTGCTACAGAAACTCAAAGGTGGCTTTATAAATTACTGGATTAAGTTACACTCCATCCATGGTCTCCCCAGTCACCAGATACAAATATCACTGAGCCTTTCTGAGAAGTTCTGGAGCTCTTAGGGAGGACTGAGGGATTTCCCTAGTTAATTTGTAGTTATTTAAATATGTTCATTTAGTTCATTCATTTATAGCTTTCATATTTCTTTTTTTATATATTTCTTTCTGTCCTTGCTACTCGCTCATCATGTTCTTTGCCTCTCATACAACGTGCTCTCACCAAGGCAGTCTGACCCCCCCGGCTCCAGGAGTCTGTATGAAGACCATAGATAAAGGGCCTGCTGCCCTCAGGGGGGGCAGAGACAGACACAGACAGACACTGAACCGGCCGTGAGAAACATCTTTCTGTAACATCTTCATTCTGTCTTAATAAACTGCTTAAGCTTAAGGAACCTGCCTCATCATTCAACTAAAAGAACCTGAGGTTTCACTGAAGAAATCTATCAAACAGACTCAAGAGACTCAAACCATGTGGTGACCCAGAATTTTCTGGAAAATACATCCACTTTGCTCACAAATACGCTTCATCATCTCTACTCATCATCTCATTCTCCATTTGAGGTGTGACATGAGGTGACAAAATATTTAGAAATCAGTTTAATAAATTTCAAATGAAAACTACTTTAACAAGGGAGTCCTTTTTAAATTATGTTTTTTGCTAACATATTTTTTTAATCCTAAATTATAAGTGTATGTCTTGTATTGTTAAATATCTTTGCGTACAACTTTGTTCTTAGTGAAGAAAAATGCTAATTAAAAAATAAAAAAGGACCAAAAGTGAATTTTACAGTATTTTAAGTAACACACCTAATGAAGACAATATTTCATCAAAATGAAAAAACACCTAGTTACACAACTGTAACACCATTCATGGAAAAGGTTAGTTCATTGGAAAGACAAAGAGCAACATTATAAATGCAACATTACAAAGCAACAATTAAAGTAACAACAATACAAATGAACAATAACAGTAACAACAAGCAAACAACATCATAAATGAAAAATAACAGTACAAAACTACACCTCAAATGTTTTTTTTTTCCCCAATGAGGGACAGTGCTGATGAGTGAGTGGGCTTTTACTTATACTGCCCCAAATAGTGCCAGATTTTAAAAAAATATATATTTTATCAGTCTCAACAGAACTTTTGTTCACAGCAATGGGCTCCAGTATAAAACACACCAGCTGACATCTTCCTTTTAGCTTGGCCAGAAACTAAATTATTAATTTCGTCCCTGTGCAAACATTTCATTTTGATGTTGTGGACCTCCACTTCGAGAATGATGCCGGAATAAGGATCTGCATCATAAAGTAGGACACATCACTGTCCAATGTGCTCTTAGTCAGGCATGTGCAAATGTGTACTCCTTTAGCTCATAGCATGGACAGTCAAGAACCCCATTTATCATTTGGAATACACAGCTGATGTCCCTATATTTGATGATTCCTGGGACAATACTGATCGACTGGTGCATCCTTACTATGCCTTTAATGCAAACCCCATTTCCAGAAAAGATGGGATATTTTCTATAATGCAATAAAAACAAAAATCTGTGAAATGTTAATCCACTCAAACCTTTATTTGACTGACAAAAGTACATAAAAAAAGATTTTAAACAGTTATACTGACCAACTTTTCATTTATTTCATCATTTTGTAAATATATGCAAAGTTAGAATTTGATGGCTGCAACACACTGAACAAAAGTTGGGACAGAGGTAAAATAGGACTGAAAAGTGCTCAGAATATTCAAGTAACACCGGTTTGGAAGACTCCACATTAGGTAGGCTAATTGCTAGCAGGGGAGATATCATGATTGGGTATTAAGGTAGCATTCATCAAAGGCTCAGTCTTTGCAAGTAACAATGGACTGTGCCTCACCCTTTTGTGCCAAAATACTTGAGAGAATTATTAGTTCAAAAGGAACACTCCTCAATGAAAGATTGCAGAGAATTTAGGTCTTGCACTCCTCTACTTACGAACGAGATATGTTCCGAACGGCCGTTCACGACTTGAAATGTTCGTAAGTCGTTATTCAACATCATTCTAAGGGTATACACAAGTACTAAGAACTTGGATGCTGGGAGTACGCACTCTACGCTGCAACGTTCAGAAACCACTGTTAAATGCGTGTGACCTTCAAACCCTCTGTCAGCGCTGCCTAAGAAACTGTCATGCTACAGTGACAAATATAGCCACCTGGGCTCAGGAGCACTTTGTAAAACCATTGCCAGAAATGCAACGTGAAAGTGTATTAGGCAAGGAGGAGGCCATATGTCAATTCCTTGCAGAAATGCCAGCGAGTTCTCGGGCCCGGGCTCATCTCAGATGGACCAAAAAGACTGTGGAACCATGTGCTGTGATCAGATGAGTCCACATTTCAGTTTTTTTTTTTTTCCAGAATGAAACGAGCGTCGAGTTCTCTGTGCCAAAAATGAAACCAACCATGCAGATTGCTATCAGCAAAAGGTGCAAAATCCAGCATCTGTAATGGTATCGGAGTACATCATTGCCCATGGCATAGGTGAACTGCATGTAGGTGAAGGTACTATTGACTCTGAGGCATATATTAGGATTTTAGAGAGACGTGTGTTGCCATCAAGCCAACATCTCTTCCAGAGACGTCCTTGCTTATTTCAGCAGGACAGTGCCTGACCAGATTCTGCAAGGGCTACAACAGCGTGACTTCATAGACACAGAGTGCGTGAGCCTGACTGGCCTGCTGCCAGTGCAAATCTGTCTGCTATTGAAAATGTATGACACATCATGAAGAAGAGAATCAGACAATGGCAACCACAGACTATTGAGCAGCTGAAGTCAATTGCATCACTCAAGAATGGACAAAATTTCCAATTGCAAAATTACTACAATTAGTATCCTCAGATCCAAAACATTTCTGGAAATCGGACTGTAGTTACAAGAGGGGGCCCCTCCGCAAATTGTTGTGCCATCTTCTCCACATCTTCTGGAGACACAAAGAAGAGCTCCACATAAGTTGTTTTCTGTTTGAGGCGGTGGAACAGGGCTGCAGCATCTGGTAAGTCTGTTCCATGATGCAGCAGATTGTCCTCAGTCTTTTTCAAGGAGCCACCGATTTAATCTGGCGTGCCCTTACCATGGCTGGCCTCAAAGAAATGCCAGCTCGTCACCATGAAACCCATCTTATATGGTTCAGTGGCCAGCATACTATGTTAAAATGTTTTCGCAAACATTAAAATTTGACTGTGACAAGCTCTTTTACAGGTATAAAGCAACTGTGAAACAGAATAGAAATAGAGAAATCTAATGAATAATGAGGTGAGAATGTACATGCAAAATCATGGGGCTCTAGTTGTAATTTTAAGCATGTTTTTAAACCCTGCAATATTAATTTTTTGCTGGTCAGACTTAATCCTACACACACCTTCTAAAAACAATGTCTGAAATCGGCTTAAGAATTTGACTTTGAGGACGTGCCTGAAAATTTTGTAATGGGGCGCGTGCACAGCTAGGAAGGTAGGAGAACAATAGATACAGCGTGGTCAGTCATGGGTCTTCCTAACCGCTATTGTTTGGGACTAAGCGTACATTTCCATTCTGGAACAATGCCTCGTAGTGTCTGCCGACTTTAGCTTGGTCAGACAGATTGACTTTTGTCACGCTGTAAGTGGCTAAAAGCCCCACTAATTATATGTAACTGTTCTGATGACAGACCTTCTCGACCTAAATAGTTAAGCATACAATTCAGTATCGGATATCATTTATACAGCTTTTTCATATGAGGAAAAATATCTCGGACATCTTTCTGTTATAGAAATGCTGGGATGCCGTTTGAATAAAAAGACACGGACCCTGATCCAGGCTATCAGCGCCATCCCCGGTAATTGAGCTATATTTATATCACGCTAGTGCCCTCTAGAGGTAGGCAGTATGAATTGTAAATTGTGGCACCCGAGAAGTCTACAAAAAGCGGAAAGAATCGGTCCAAGACGTGCAAACATTATTTCAGTTTTATTCTGTATAGATTGCGTTTTAAGATGCAAAACTTTACATCCGGAATTCTTTTACAGTTATTTCCATCTACAGTTATTTTGTTTATGATATTTTATTATTTCCATTATTCTTTCGTCTGTTTTCGATGTAGGAGATCTGTATTAGAATTCTTTCACGCATGTCGTTTGATTGCTTTTCAAATAAGAAAATAAAAAATTAATTATACGATCATTTGCACTTGCGGTGTGAAACAGGTGTTTCGCGCGAATACAGCACCTGTATATATTACACATGTTTATATATCTATACTGTATATAGACTGATAGGCGGACAGCCTAAAACCTCGGTCCCTCTGTGTCGGTATCTGTCTATTGTCCTTAGACGCCTGTGACGTCACTGTATTGGTTGTCGGACATGTGCCAGATGTGATCCTCTTCCCAAGTGACTTTCTGTGTTAGTGGGGAATGCCTTGATTCACCCTCCCGCCGAAAGAAAAACAAACCATTTGATATTACATTAAATGCATGCAATACCCGACTGATGCCCAGAGAAGAAAAATACTCTCTTGTCTATTTTCTTTCCATTTGACTTTGTTGACACTCACGGTCAATTTATATCTACAATAAAGACAAAGGGAGTAGTAAGTACTCATATTTGTTGTCAGTGTGAAGTGTGCTGTTTTTTTTTCTAAGTCGTGAATATCATGTATATAAAGAAGACAATAATTGTTATATATCGGAATTCGGTGCAGATGCCGTGTATCGCTAGATTGGAATTTAAGCAGCTGAAGCGAAACGCTTAACGACTCCGTATTTAAGAATATTCTGTGTTACACAGTTCAGGATGTTTTTCACTGTTCATCTTTGATAATGGCTGGTAAATTATTCACACGAGTTCTTGCAGAGTTAATTAGGTTGGGTTTTAATGGGCGTTTGGTGAACTCCTCTGAAATGTGCAGGACCCAGGAGCACCATAACAGACACGCTAATTGCAGCGATACCTCGATCCTGCATATTTTCTTTTAGACCCACCCGATCATATTGATCCTCAGCCGTGATGGATTAATGGAGGAGGGCTCTTTTGTAGAGGTTTTCCAGACTGTCCCAGCATAAGCCTGTGGCTGTATGCGAAAGAGGACCAACCATTGAGGCTTAAAGATTTGTTTTGGTAGGATGGCACATCGTTCAGATAATGGCATAAACACACACCACCATAATGGTGAAGACAGCACCATTTTATTTTATTCTCTCTCCCTCTCTCTTTCTCTCTCTCTCTCTGGAGCTTGATTTTCATGAACTCACACAAGGTAGATGGAAAGATGACAAAAGAACTTGGCAACAATAATAGACTTGGGAAGGATATCATACTCATTACGCAACATATTCATGGTTTAGGAGTCACGAACCCTTCACAATAGAATGCGCATGTAATTTTTCATTTTGTCTTTTGCATTAATTATTTGCTGAGGGCACTTAATGTATATCTTGCGCAGAAAGGCAAAAGCAAAAACCTATAGTATAAAATGCGTTGAGTTCCACTCTTCCTATTTATTTTCATGTAATTTATGGAATACATTTTAGGATTATGGGTTATTTTGTAAAAGGATTGTACGAATAATACATAATAATACATGAAGAATTACTACTACT